AATGCACATGGCCGACACTTGACAGTACCTTTGAATAAATTGACAAAAAAGGATCGTTACTTTGCAAGGACTGAGTTTAGGGCCTTTCCTTCTACGATAAGTAACACAAAATTATAGAAAAGGTAATCAGGCAGATGTGGTATCCGTAATTGCCAACACTCCCTAATATGCTCCCTTAATATGTAATCACCGTTTAAGGACCTCATAATTTAGCTCTTAATCCACAATCTGGGTGACATTTTGTTATCAACTATTTTCACTAAATTCGTCATTCTTGCCGTTTTCTTAGCAGCTTCTGCGCTGTTATTTGGTTGGTTATTAATTTCGAGAATTTTACACCCCCTTTCTACGGCATTAGAGACCCCGCCACATTCCCACTAGTTCACGCCGCAGTCGGTTTAGTTTCGGTGACCTTAACCTCCCAATTACATTTCTTGGGGTGATACTTGGTTTCCGAGGCTAACTTAACTTACGTTCAAATTGCGCGGTCGTTACATTGTCATTCTAGCCTACATTCAAATAAGTCGCCGTATTTTTAGGCGGTTACTTATCAATATATCATCACAGGGCCACTTTCTTCGTATTTTCCTTCTGCTCCACCCGTTAAACCCCCTATTACCACGGTTCCCATATTGCACGCGTTTTGCGTTTCTGGGACCCGGACAGCGTAACCGAGCCTTGCCATTCCGTTTTTAATTGTACAGGGTATGCGTCTGCTACGTGAGACAGGTAAACCTCCCGTGCCTCCATTAGTCTCACGGAATTCAAGCCAAACCGTAGGTGATATTGAACCTCCTCAATATGCGCCCAGATGGCTCGACTTGAGACCGGGTATCCTTTGTTCAGTTTCCTTTTCAATCAGCGTAAATAGGCCTCGATTGGGTTGGTATGCTTTTCGATGGTTGGGTTACTGAAGTGTTTGGAATGGATGGCGGTGAAATGCTGATATCCCTCGGATGGCAGGCGACTATACGCCTTTCTCTCATCCGTTACTACGACGCTGCCTTTGTCCACCAGTTTCGTTATGGCAGACCTCAGGGCTGACCAGCTTCCGCCGTTCACGTTCTCCAATAAGGCTTTTCGCCGGCTGGTATCATGCATTCCCGCCAGCCATTATTGCCTTTTTCGTCTACCGACGTTGTACGCATGCCAGCCGATAAGCATCTCGCCAATTTTTGCTTCTACATCTGGGCCGCCGTTCTTCTTTGTTTCCTTCATGAGTGCCATGAAACACATGCTTCGGCAGAGTGCGTACCACTCAACAGCTGTTGTGTGAGACACGCCTATGTTTTTTTAGTAATCTGTTACTCTTTTTCCTTTTAAACATGGCAGCCAAATCTTTACGACTGTCCCGATCGTGATCCGGATCTTCTCAAATATGGAGTCAGCTCTAAGAGACCTTCTTCTTCGGCAACGGACAGATTTGAATACCTATCCGTCTGCGTAGCACCTTTGGATTTGTTATTTCATTTGCTGCCTGAACTTGCATGTTAACGCAGTTGACAGAAGTCCTCTTGTCTGGCAGTACTCTATCACCTTCTCAGGATTTATCTCCTCCATTATTTCTTCGGTTCTGTTTCAGAGATGTGGCTGAGTTTGTCCACTTCTTTTGGCTATCGGATCCGCTTACCAGCAATTTTCGGAAAAAAATAGCTTATTGAGAACCAACTCTACCACCACATACAGGCGCTGGATCTTCAGTGACTCCAATCTAACTGCTGAACAATTTTTACATTTTCTGCTTAAATTGACCAAGATCATACATAATAACCAAACGGATAGTTAATCACTTATGGATTTCGATTTCCATTATGGGTACATAATTGGTCAGATATCGGTGATATAGCGTTCATTGGCATTGCAATACCGCACACTAAATTTCAGTGCGGTTGGCTCCCTCACATATTCTCATTCATCCTCATTGGTTGAAATTGCCTTAGTTAATTTTCCTGATGTAGACTATCGATTGGCGATTTACTTAAATTAGTTTATTTTTAATGCATTTATCGTTTATTTTGTCAATTGCCCCGCTTCGTTTTGGTTGCCATATGTCGGTGTATTAAAATTTTCACGGCATAGAATCAAATACCTCACATACTTTCCATACTTCTTGCATTTTACCTTTCATTCATATGCCCCGCCCGTTAAAGCCCTATTACTACATTTCCTGTAAGACAGGTGTCGATACATGGGGCCTTCAGCCTACCATTGCCGACTCCGAATGCAAGATAATGTCAAGATAGTCGGGGATGGGCTGGGTCGCAATGGCTGACAAACCTGAGCGACCAGTCTACGCGAACCACATACAACCTGGCCCTCCCCCCTACGATATTCCATGTCTTCATGGAGGGCCGTTCGGAGGTCACCTGCGCAAAAACGCCATTGTAGCAGGTGCAAAATATACTTTTGACATGGTCAATGGGAAAAACTCGTACAGTGAGAAAACTTGGGCTCGAACGGTGCCGAACCGCCAGCTTTTCGAATCCGCATCAGCCGTTCCAATGTTGAGCTTAATCAGAGGTCTCTCCATCTCTTTTATTTACTAGTAGTCATTAAGGACACGTAAACCGCAATGAATAAATTAAACTGAGAGCTTTCTCACGCCTTGGGTTGAACTCGTGGCAGATGCAACTTCACCCTGCCCCTGTGTTGTTTTTACTTTGTTCTGAAACTGATCACCCAGGGAGCATTGTGAGCGGTAACTCTAAGACAAACCAACCTTGTTCCGTATTTCGTCGTACAGCTGGATCAGATCGGCCAACTCCGTCGTCGTTCGAAATGACATCAGCCAATTTTGTACAATATGAAGGGCGCTGCAGGCTTAGGAGTGAATCTCACTGTTACATACCAGCTTACATCCATGACCTCTCGTTAATTTTCATGACACGTAACACTGAATGGTTTTATCCTAAATCAAAATTAATACTATCCATCAGGTAATCCAATTGCAGCAGCAATTTCAATGGGCTATACATTGTAATAAAAGCGGGACAAGACGGCTGGGATATTACCAGGTGATACGAGATTTGTCGAAATTCTCCTTGTTACCTGCCCTATGTTTTCGTCGTTAATTCTGATTTACGGAGTACAATGACTGTAGTGATGTTATGTCTGTTACTTCCTTTTGAAATGCGTGGTTACTGTGCCGTCATTTCAGTTAACTGATGCCGAAGAAAACAGTTCGACGAACTTATGTTTTCCAAAAATTATAGCCAAATCAGAGAGAAATCTGCATAATGCCACGAAAGAGGGGCAAGTACTTCGGCTGACATGAACAGTTCAGATACTTTCGCGATGCTAGCGAAGAAAATCTGCGAGAAAAACATGGCGGGTAGTCAGTCGTAAGCTACCATCCGGCATTTGTCTAAATGTGGGGGTCTTTGGTTAATTTAACTTGGACCACGGCGAGTGCAGCTTCCGCGCGACGTGCTTCTTGATGATGAGCACCAGGTTGGGAGGGCCGTTGGTTCAGACCTTTTCACACGCCTTTGTTGCTGGAAAGGTCTGAGTATTACTTTCTGCAAGCCCAGTTCTACGATCGGAGGGCAGAGAAAAACCGTCAGGTCGAACTACCACCATGTGTGTTTGGGCCTTCTCTTGCTCCTACACATCATTTATGGGTAGTGCCTCTCAGTCGATGACTGACTGGTTACCCAGCTTTGAAGGGTGATGGCTTAGACTGAGTGCGAGACTGCGTGCCACCCTTCGAGGCCCCGAGGTTTGTTCTCGTCTGCTATGCCATGATTCAGCAAACTATGGCCCTCGCAGCCCGGTGTGCGCTGACAGTTCTCTGACACCTGGTTCCCTGCCGATAGATGCGCTTGTGCTCCCGCTGTGTATACTGGTCGTCAGCATTGTTACCAAGTAATCCTCGCCTTTTTGACTCACTTTTGTTTTCTTATTGGTTATAATTATGGCCAAGTGTTTCTTGTGGGCCGAAGAATGTGACGGCACGCCTAGGCGAAGGCCCGCTCGTGTCAGCTACCTGCGACCTCTCCTGACCCCGATTTTCTTAACTGTCTTGACATGGGGCACAGGTAGGGAGGAGAGAGTGCGGTAGATGCTGCGCAAGTCTGCTCTCACTACAAACTACTTCATGCGCAAGTCACTGTGCCTGCTTCATCTTGTTATGGAGCATACGATGGACGTCGTCGGCATCGACGGTCGAACAGTCGACCTATGTATCAGGATACATTGGTCAAATGAGACGATGTCTGCTCGAACAGAACACCTGCCGGAGTGTTCATCAGAACAATTCTTGCCCTCTGACAGACCCAGGCTACCGCGTGAACGCCAAGAAGCCTTTCAGGCAGCCTACAGATTTCCGTCGGACAACCTCCAACGCCGGCTAGGAGCTGCTAGTCATGGTGGAGGTGACAGCCACACGCCTACACAGCCATGTCCTCTGCACGTAAAAAGACAACCTTCACAACTCTCCCGGTTACCGTGGTCCGAAGACCGTTGGCCGAAAGCTAGCATTTGAGTAGACAGCGATAGTTGCTCGCAACTAACTACTTGCAGTAACTTTTTCTAACACACATTCCCTCCTGCTTCTCCTCATCTGAACCTCAGATTTGCAATGATGTATGCCGGTGATATTCTTCTTTTGTTTATTGGCCAGTAGCAATTTGTACCTGATATACATCACTCCTTGGGCGACGGCGACGACCGACAGGCTAACATAACAACTTCGCTCGCACGAACGAAACAAACACCATTTCAGTCAAGTCTCTGTTAGTCTCAGCTTCTGACTGTCAAGGTCTGTTTCATCTTATACTTTATTTCGCTGCGGAGAAACCAACCAGGTTATTTTACCTGGCATGAACTGACATATTATTAAAACTATACATTTTAAGAAGAATGCGGCTAGCCAAGGGCAAGCTGAAAAAAGTTACGATATAGTGTAACTTGTGTCGAGATGTGCTCTTGCACTTCTATCAGGAAGTCTCAATGAATCTGTTACCGAGAACCATCATTACCGTGCCTGGCGCTATCTCTCGATGTCTTGCTGCTTCGGAATCATTCGCCTTCGCAGCGGCCGATCCCAGACTCACCGACCTTCAACTCTGGCCGACTGCAACATGCGCACACGCGGATATTCTGACGGGTGAGGATGGGCTATGCAACCGGGGTGGATTGTTTAAATGTCCTTACTTAACCACTATATTGTCTTCAGGAGGGCTTGCTTGGTAGGACGTCACAGCCGTCAATGTCCCACTTGAACTCGCCACCCCCCGGTCAGGGAGTGACATACAATCTCGACAGACACTGGCACCTGATCTCACAAACCTTTTAAAACGGTTGACACCACTACCTCAGCCCCTCTCGAGCGTGACGTAACAACCTCTGCACATGCCCTAGCCTCACCCGTGGCCACCACCGTCCGAGACAGCTGATCACGGGACTCTGTGCACACCAGAGCCCCTCATTCAGCCTTCCTCTCCTGCTAAGCATAAACTGAATTTCTGACGGAGACGCTCCAGAGTACTACAATTACTAACAACCAGTACAAATTCGGGCAAGATCCATATTCTGGACATACAACTCTCTCTTCTCTAGTAAGTTTCGTTTCGGGTCCTTACATCGCCTACATGAAGGAGCAAGCTTGGCTCTCCTACAAAGAAAATCTGGTCAGAATAGCTTATACAGCTCTCCAAACGTGACATGGTAATAGGACTGCCAAGCCCGCCTGATGCAGATGGGTTTACACTAACTTCCAGAAAGGACAGATGTTCCCGTGTCTTAAACCCAACACTCATCTTAACTCAATCCCTACCTGCGACCCTAATCACAACCCCGACCCTAATCTTAAACCTTTCCCTAGCCCCAACTCAAATCATACTTTTCCTGGAATTTAGCACAGAGCTATCTGTATTACGGGCGACTCCTATTCCCATGTCCTGTGGGGTTGGGGATGGGGGGTTTGGGCAGATAAGCAAGTCCCACCGAAACTTTCGATAGCTAAGCGGGTCGGGGAAACTGAATCTATTTTTCTGCCTCATTGGCACTTCAACCCACCAGCTGAAATTTAGGATGGATGAATTTCCACCACCGTCTCATTCAACTACAAATACTTGCTCGTTCACTCTCCTCATTCACCGTGTAGGACAATAACAACAGAGGTTACAACAGCCAGCGACAAGTAAGCTAGCATTGGAATTTCCATTATTAATGTTTTAGGCCACCACCAACCAAATCCTGTCAGTACATGTGGCAGCTGACTGATCCGCCGTAATCACCACCCATGCGGAATGTGCATTATCCAAATCCACCCTGTAGGCAACTAACACCTGGTACGCCGACTTCATCCATTCGCACCTTCTCACCGCCTCGATGGCTAAGTGGTTTGCCAAATAACCTATCATCCACAGAGTACGTGTATTCTCGCTTATAATTGGTACCTATGCTGTCAGCGCGATAAATCCTGCAGTATGTGTAGTAGAGTGCTGGCTGCCTGTTGGTATTTTATGACTATTATTTGGTTATCTCGCTGTAGGTAATGAATTTCAGTTCAAATATTCATATCAGCTTTCGGACTGGGCCTATACAGCATAATTCCGATTGATCCACTCCAGGCTGGCAAGTAATTTCTAAACAGACTAAAAAGCTGATAAGAACTAAAAGTGCCTGAGGTAATCCCTAGATATCCATTGTATTCGGTTTAGTGTCTTGAATGCATCACTAACCTTCGGGGTTTTCCATTACCAGTCTCGCGTAACGAAGCGTACACGTGATACTTCCGAGACATACTGAAGGACTGTGTCGGGAAATCATTTCACAGCACGGGAGGCTGCTGCTAGACAGGAAAATGAACTTATCCAAGTATGTATTTGGTCCACTGACCACCCACGGTTCATCAGGCATGATCATCTGTCGAGTTTATTTGCCTGGAGTAGATTAACATCGAGCTACTGACTGTGGCCTGACTGTCAGTTTCCTACTGTTCCCAGACTTTGACGCCATTTCGAATTATTCATCTTTGAATTTGCTCATTATTCATACACACGAAGCCTCGCTTCTCTTTTACTACTGGACTAACTTTTTTAGGACATAAAATGTGGGATATTTTTGGCTCTCCTCATCAAAGCAGAATTCTTCAGTCACTCACCATCGGCCGTTAGCGTCCTTTTCCTGTGCACATGTTCGACGATCCCCTCCACCCTTGTGTATGCGAATACCTCAGCTGTGTAGTTTGGCATTACATTGTGTGACCCGTGTCAAGCGGCAACCCATTTAAGTGATTGTATGCATTTATCTTATTTCGTACACCGTAAAAATATGATCGAGCCTTCGGGATAGAAGTATGAATCGGACTTTTCTGGATTTTTGCCGCCATTAAAAGTCGATATGTGCACGAACACTTCTACGGTACGGACGGTTTTGGATCCCGGTATCAATTCACGCCTCGCAGTCGACTACCGCTTTCGTAAAACCTACTGAAACAAAAGCGGCAGGCCTGCAAAAGTCGACATGCGTCTCAAAGCCAAAAGTTGCAATTTTTGGGATCAGGATACAGTACCTGTTCATCTGAACTGTCACAATGTGCTCACCAAAGGACCCTCAGGAAGAAAAACCCTCCCGTCTGGGTTAGTCGGTTAATTATCTCTGCCTCTGGTTTTGAGCCGACAGCAGAACTAATGCCTGAATTTGGATCTTTGCCTGTGAGCTTCGTCTGGTCTGCACAGCTTTTCTGCCCTGGAGAACACAGAACTTTGTCAGATTTTGCAAATAAAGTGCGACAAGATGACGGGATCACAGGAAGGTTGTCTGTGTGTTCTTTTTTTCTCTCTTTTTTAACGGATGTATGTTTGATTGAGTTATTTATTGGGTGTACAGTGCCAATCATCGTGAAAGCGTTATCAGTTGGTGCTAGGCGCGCGGTCTTCAGTTTTCCAGATGCTGGTAATGATTTTGGATGCAAGCTAACTCTCATGCATCAAGTATTATAAATCTGTGCATAAACATTTTGAAAAGTGATGACCGTGTCTACGGATGTATGCTGATTGAGCATAAACCGTGGCTTGGCTTTCCTGGGATGTGTATTTTCTCGTTGATTTGTGGCAGATCTCCACGCCTGAAAAAATGACCCAGACAGAGTGGAGGTTAGAGGAGGTGTGTTGAGGTGTGGCGATTTTCAAGGGACCAAATACCCTCTAAACAGCATCACATTTCTGCGCCTTTTACGCGCAAGCGCATGCGGACAAATTTCGTCGATGTCCCCCCTCCAATTGCAGTGCTTCATATGCGCTGCATAAATTAGGAGGCCCAATCACACCTAGATGTACACCCAGGTAGAACTGCGGGACAGTTCTAAGTAAAAAGTATTCTGTTGTCACCATAACAACCTAATGTCGCCGTATTTGTGTGTAGACTGGAAATATCGGTTACAGTTTCGTTAACAGGACGACAGAGAGAACGTGTATCTCGGCGCCGTGGAGTGCAAGTTAACTCCTGTAGTGGAGAATGTATACGTTGTCATAGTTTTCACTATTCTCATACTCATGAACGTGGACAAAGTGGATGAGGCCACACAACAGGCCCAGACGTCAGCCCCCAGTACTACACCCAAGTCAGAGGTCACTTTTCATCCGCAGAGTAACCCAATTGCCAGACGCTTCCATGTCGTGAATGAAAACGCCGTTAAGAAGCTCTCCACTGACATGGAGAAGATAAACTTAGAGCGCAGGAAGTCCTGTCGGAAAATGGAAATGGAACAGGAGGCACTATTCCAGCAATTGTTCGACATTGCTGGCAACACTACGGCCGAAATGGAGGAGGGCGAACAGGAAGAACTAGCTGCGGACAGCCCAACCGAACTCTACCGCAAACTCCCTGACCGACTCGATATCCGAAAGATGTCAGCGCAGATTAGTCGCTCCAGGACGACTGATATGATCTCCGTTCTCGGCAAAACGCCCGCAAGGCAAAGCATTTCAGATAAAACCGACCTCTGTAGCATCAGTTCTGCCTCAAATCGCAGTCTTGAGACTGCCGGCTCACCCGGTGGCAGCCATTCACACTTGTCCTCAAAAAGCCCGTCCTTCTCTTCTTTCCAACCAGATGAGGAGAAAATGAGGTTTCGTTTCAGCCAGAGCGACCTCGCCCAGCCTACTTCCAGCGCACGCATTAGACGCGCCGTTTCGCTCAAATGTCGGCGCAGACCTACAGCAAATACGCTGCACCCCCTTCCTGATGTCCCTCTCATATCCTCCTCCCTGGGCCCCAAACTACCAATGTGCTCAGCGGCCGCCGGCGGTCCGAAATCGACGGCAAACAACATGCGCCTTTTCAGGAAGCTGTCCTATCATAAGACCCCACAATCGCGCGAACAGCGTTCTTTCTCCACAGTGCGATGTCGTGGCAGTGCAAGCAGCCTGCTCGAGACGTCTGCCTCAGACGGAGGCCTCCTTTCACCGCCTGCGCAGGATCTACCCGAATGGCAAATGGTGTTAGCCCAGAAGCGCAGAGAGAGATTGGCCCAACTGCAGGCATATCGTGAACATGGATGCTGGAATACTGGTGCGCAGACGGTCGCCGCTCTTCTTTCTGGTTGTCCCTTCAGTCCGGTGCCAGCAGGCAGCTCGGTCCTCTCACATGCCAGCGAACTCTCAGTCGATCAGGAGGAGGAGCAGGAGGAAGAGAAGTTGGAGTAGGGCTGACAGCGCAAGCCTGCATGTCATCTGTTAAGGTCCCTCCCCCATCGCCAGCTCCGATCCTTAACCCCAGTACTTAATTTTACTACAAATGAGGATGTCTCTGAAACATACAGAAAATAACTATTTTCCCAATAAATTCACTCTGAAATGGCAAGGACCTAGAATCTTAAGTGAAGACATCGTGCATGTCGTCGGTCAGCAGGCAAGACAGAAACTCAAGACGTACCTACGGCACTCTAAAAGGCCTCACCTCGGATTCTTGCCATGGACGCAAATTTTCAGTGAACCTTTTTCAAGGTTGCTTGGCCAGACAAATTACAGGACGAGCTTAGTCGAATTTTTAAAAACGTAAGTCGGTGGTCTGGCTGGACACAAGCCATAACACTGTAGATTATGGAAACGAGAAACTCTTGAGAGCAGGGAAATGTGGTCATAGATTCAGATTCCAAGAAGAGCTATTAAAAATTGCAAGTATATACATGGCATACGAACCCCCCGAATTTTATATGGGGAAATTTCAACTTTGAGAAGGAATAAAAAACCCAAGTCTCATTTATAAAATCAACGAAGTGGAAAACTTTCATTACGAGCATAGGTGGTAGTTCGAAAAGTAATCGGGTGATCTCCTAAATTCTGAGCCCTCTCAACTGAAAAGAGAACGCGTAGTAGCACGCCTGGGTTGATTTTGGAGGTCAGTAGTGGGCCAATGATGAAGGACCCGATAAGGTAGTCGTGCCAAACTCCAGAGGACACACTAATCTTCGAATTGGCCCGTGCACTGATGGGCGATGCGGACCTTTTCACCCTCAGACGCGCACATTCGTCTCTAGACTTCGAGGAGTCGCTCACCAGAGAACCGACTTTGTCAGGCATGTTCACCGCAAATTCCTCAGAAGCGATCCTGTTATCTGATTTAATTGGTCGGTGGAGTATTAACTTGCAAATGGGCAGGCTCAAACCTTGCGTGTGATAAAATGCACTATCGCACAGCGAACCTTAACTCATATCACACAGCCAGAGTCGACTTGAGTATTGTAGACTAAAATATCTCGAAAACGTTTAGCATTGTCTCCGGTGGAAATCGGTCCGCGCCTTTCATATGTACCAGCTCCACTATGGCTCGCATGGCAAGGAAGGCGGCTACCAGTTTGCTTTGCGAAACCGACTTTGAATCCCGTTGGTTTCCGTTTTAATGAATTATAGAAGCAGGTGTGCTGTCTCTATTATGTGAACGGCTTGGAGGCTGGGCCCTCCAATGGATACTCAAACAAGAACTGCTTTCATCTCCGTCAACCTTACAGCATGGTTAACGATAATCTCTCACTTAGATTTCTAACGTGATGTAATAGTTTTATTGGAAGAATCTAAGCGGACAATGAAGTCCCTCCGCTGTTTACTAGCTTTATTTTGTGCTCCTCACTGATGTGAGACCCCAGCTACCCTCATGGAAGGGTGTCCGTGTTGTTGGGACCAGGTTATGCGTGGTAGGCACAGACGGGCTGATCGCCTTTGTCGGCCACTGCGAACAATCCCATTACCATCTGGCTGACAGTCGACTGGTTCATGAGAGTTGGAAGATTGAGGCCAAAACTCGGCAATCCACACCAACTGCACATCAGCGAATTCCTCACCACGGTAAATCCGACGTGCCTGGATCTACTACGAGGCACTCAAAGTCATGGCTTGGGAGGCTGCCGACTAACGGGACGGCTCGGTTCGGTATTTCGGAGTAACTGGTGGGATGCGTTAGGCTGCAATGGTTCCTTCTTAATGTGGCCCTTATGGCATATTCGCAGATGTGAGATCCGAGTCGCTCCCATTAAAGTGCGGTACATGCCGCAGGGACCAGGTAATGCATAGCACGTGTGCAAACAGGCTGTCTGGCTTTCTCAGTCACCGCATCCCAGGCCACCTTCGGTCGTCTGGCTGTCGGAGTCCTATGGGTGAGGACAGAGTTCGGCAGACGCTGCACAAGTCCGCCCCCACCATGAACTATTTTACGCACAACTCACCAGTGTCGCGCACACTCCGTGGGGCACACAGTGGACGTCGCCACCCACGGCGATCGAAATGTCATATGTTACTAACAGATTCACGCGCAGAAATTCTCTTCGTTGCCAGTAATAAAGCCAAATTATGACGGTAGACCGCCTTGAAGGGAACATGATCGTCGGAACAAGAGCCTCACTCGCCAGCTTCGGATTCACACCCAAATCCATCATCAGGGATGGAATGGATGAAGGATTCAAGCATGAGTCCGGAATGTCGGACAAATACAGCTCTTGTTCCAGGGACTGTCTCTTCGCAATTGCTTCCTGGAATCCGCGTCTTCGCTCCTATCCGCAGAATGTCTATTGTTCAAGGCAAATTCCTAACTGGCAATTACATCATTTATCGTGGTGCAGGCACCTCCCATCCCACCCAGAGACTGGCTTTACCTACATTAGGATGTGTGCCCGCTGCCGTTATAGAGTATGGCTAGTAAGATGGCGGAGCACTGTCTCAGTATCACTATTGGATTGTTAGTACCATTATCTGCGAAGACATCTAAAATAAGAAACTATGGTGTTTCATGGTTTCAAGTAGATGGTGTTACGGTAGTGTCGTGCTTGTCAGGTTAAACAAGGTCAAATAAACTGGGGGAAACACACGGTCAATCGACATTTGCTCGGACAGTCCGGGTACGGATGGGAAGAGTATGGCCCACTACACATCAAAGGAGTACTTGAGGCCGATTTCTCAAAATTAACAAAAGGTATATGCTCAAAAGGCTTAAACGCACGAGAAGTTGGCATATAACTCGCATTATTTAAAACAACCATTATTTTCTGCAGCTAAAAAGGGCATGCGAAAACCGAGATGCAAAAAGTCCTAGTGCACGCCTAAAGAGTGGGCACATAAACAGGAAGAAGCCGTGTTCTGGAAATTTTATTCTTAAACCATGGAGAAAGACTGACAACTGAAGAGGCGCGACTATACAGGAGGAATACAGAGCAATTATTGACCCTAGCGACCGCTGCTCCCAGAATTTTCGTTGGAGTTAGGATCGACAGAGTTGAGGATGAAGAAGAAGAAGACAGCAGGCACAATATACATCCACTAAAGTAAAGAAGAAGGCGAGATTCAGTGTCTTCGGAAACATGGGATGCCTGTTTAAGTTTCTAGACAAAGACTAACTTCGCATTATTAAAGAAAATCAACATTCAATTCCACCAACGGATGCGACCTATTCGTATGCTAAGACACTAAGTTCAGAAAATAATTTTGAAAGACAGATTATAGAAATTTGCTGTGGGGGGGGGAAGAGCTATGATTGCAAGGATTAACTTGGGCTTAACTAGCTCCCGGAAGAAGAGAACCTACGTATTTTGCAATGAATGACCGATTGTCATTTTGCTCTTGTCGAAGCTTTTCTTCACGTTGGCGCTCGAGTTTCTTCAAATATTCCAAGGTATCGGGCCTAAAAATATCGATGCAAGACTAGATAGCATACCCAGTTCCAAGTGACGGGCGCTGGACGTATGCGACCGTTTGTAGGGTCAGGTCGTGGGACGGTGGAAGTGACATGCAGGTCTGATTCTCAGCCACCAAGGTAATAGCAACTGCCGATGCAGATGCATCAAGGCTGACTGTCAGGGAGAGCCTGCCTTTTGATGAGAACAAGAGACACTGAAGATACGTCAGAGGAACAACAGCGTACCGCTCGGCAGGAGCTCATAAGTTGCGCCACTGATTCCTTATCAAGTAGTCGGACAATATACAAAGAATCCTTATCAACAAGTTCCTCAATGAGAGCGGTGAAACATCAATGAATTGTTGGTACTTTGAGTGCGCGTAAATCCTCTGTGGTCAAGGCCTGCTCATCTGTCATAGAAGCCGCATCCCGTTTCGCAGGAGAAACAATTAGGGTACCTTTCTTCGAAAAGGTTTTACCTGTGTGGAGAATGAAGAAGTGTGCTGACGCTAGTGAAGAAACCAAGGAAAATTAAATTATCCCCAACTAGTTCCAGTAAGGCAGGTAACACCATGCTATGTCGCTGTGCAATGGGACCTAACGCGAATAAGCGATCGTTTATGGAGTAGCAAAAGATGTGTGGACCGATCAATCGGAAACTGCGGAAGAAAAACACCTATGAAATGGTATGCCTCGGCAGTACAATTACCGTGAACTTGTATTACGAACCATCAAAAATGACAGTAGATGAGATCTAAGATAAAAACACAAAACACTGCCCTTACAACATGTGTCCAACCCTGCACTAGCATCTCAGATTTGCAAGTTTGCGTGCAAGCACTGATCTTACTGGCTGATTAGGGCATGATCCGAATACGTTAATCAATAGATATCGAGTAGATATACGTGAATAGCGATTTGTCGAGATATGCATGTCTACCACGTAACCGACAACTCCGCTTATGCAACCTGGCATTTCATTGTTTGCCGATCTTTAGTCGCATTACGATAGCGCACGCGCACGTGCGCTATACAAGAGGACAGAAAGGCATTGTCGCTCTTAAGTGCCTTGGAGGACGGGAAAAACCATGGGGTCATTACCGCTGGCACGGGTGGCGCATGCATCTAACAGTTATGTGAATGGGCCCTGCGATACAACATGGAGCATGCTCAGATACGATTTTTTGGCTATTTTTAGGCCGATTGTGCCCAACTTCCGGTAGATTCAAGAACACTCTTGAGAGCGGCGTATAACCTGCAGGTAACTCCCATGGGCAGCCGCGAATATGTGTACGTCTGCTTGAAAAGGCAACTACTCAGGCTTGTAAGTAAGACTGGTTCAATTAGCAGCGATCCAGAAATTCGATTGGCTATTAACGGTCTCTCCGTTTATAGGAAATCTAAGACCTATCTTAGGAAGAGTTGGGAGGCCCTTAGGGAAGGAAGCTACCTTGGTAACGTATTTACGGTAGGGATTTATTGCGGAACCGGAAAGTCACCAGATGTACACGCATTATGCAAGCCGACTGTAAGTGAGATAAGATCCCTACGTGAACGAGGAATCCACAGCAAGAACGTTAAACAACCTACTCGCGTTGGCGTCGGGTTTACAATCTGTGACGTCCCTACTAAGGTTTATTAAGCCCTAAAGGCCACTTACTGTTCTTTTGCCTGTGCGAACAGTGCTCGTGAACCATACAAGCACACAGTCAACTTAGTGAGTGGTTTGCGAGCAATGAAGGGAGGAGTTCCTAAGTAGTCATTGTGATGGAAGGTTCGTCCATATGGTCACACTTCATTCGCCTTATTTCCTGTACGTTTGTAGATATTATCATAAGCGACTTCTCATCCCGCCGAGTACTTCAGAAAGGACGACGGTCAGCGGTACATGGGGCCATCTACCTGTTAGGTGAGGGCTTTTGACGCCTACGACACCAATTACGTGAAAGGATTGCTGGGCAGATTGTGCTCACAGACACTACTGTCAGGGGTCAACCAGCCACAAAAGTAACTCCAGTCTAAATGTAAAGACTAGCTATCAGCGGGTGTGCTGTTATGAGGATGGGTGGAAAACGACATACCTCCATCAAAGGAATGCTCAATATTGAAGGATAACGAGCTCACATGTTCCTCCTAATTACATTATGAAATAAATGGAATTACACAGGCCGAAGTGTAAAAGAGCCAGGTGACAAGAAGGACGGCTTGAATCATCCCAGCGGTGGCTCGCAAGGGCTGTAGAGCCAGGACAAATTGCAATTCATGGATCCCGCCCAAATTTCAGCCTTTTAAAATTACATTAGAATTTTTAGGCATTTCTTCCTAGTTTAATGTTTTTATTTTCATATCTTACTAGTTTATTTCCGATAATTTTTCTTTCCTTAATGATATTTCTCATCGACTTTTTCATGAATACACAGTTTAAATTCCCGATAACTTCAATAGATGGTGATGTTAGTTATCGTTTTTTTGGCTCTGCTTCCGAGCGTACTCTATCCACGACAGAATTAATGTTTTCATGAACACTGCGATTGGTTGAATAAAACTGCCGTTATTTATCTTGCACCAAACAGTCTCCGGGTGGTTCTTGGCTGGGATTAAACGCAACCGTGCTGAACGGTGAAGGTTTCCAACAGAAAAATCGTAGATAATAGTGGTCAAAGAGAGTTTGTTAATTATGATATTCAGGTTGAAGACTCAACGTGTAGAGTGGATAACTGCAGAATGACCAGTCCAAAAATGAAAGCATTATGCAGGAAACATCATTTTACAGTACACCAAAATTCTATAGATTTGGCATCCGAGGCAGTCAGAGGAACGATGGACATCATATCTCAGAACGTAGCGAACTCGCTAACGATTCGGCAGAGGTTGATGGCGCCAAAAATATCAAACAGAAACATTGGTAAAAGAGTTCTGTATTAAGTTAAGATGTAGGAGATTGCCAAAAGGGACGGATGAGTTCAGAATCCAAAAGTTTAGTATTTGCACTTAGTTTTTATTAGCAAAACCATTCGACTATCTGAGTCAGCTGCCGACTTGGCATTTTTAATTTCTGTCAGCCTTTATACATCCAAACAGTGATTACAGACCGCTACAAATGTTCGAAATCCGTTTTCCTTATGCACAAATAGTTCCATACCCACGCCGAGCAAAATATAAATATGCTGCACGATGGGTTCTCTGGTCGGGGTGCAGGGCTGTTCATTTGTGGGTTCCACGTGAATATCATAATAGGCCGCACCATTCCTCTCGCACAAGTTGTTACTACGTCTTACGTTCATTGACTGTTGCCGAACTCTCAAATATGGATCCCGGAAGCAAGTGTCTGCCTCGCGGCTGCATTTCGGTAGCTGCCTCAATCGGTAAGGGTAAATCAGGGGAAGTAATCCGGTGTTGTGTTTGTCTCCACACCCGACAACTCTGTTTCCTCTCGCATCCCCCCTCCTCCCCAGCTCCAACTTCAAAAACTTCTGAAAGGGCGACATGCAATTCCGCAGGCGGTCCAGGCTAACTTGTGTCGCTCTCAAACAAACACACCTGGGACACACAGCGGAATACAACCTTGAAGGAGGCCACAAGGTTATTAACATCAGGTAAGTTAAATACTTTTCTATTAAGTTTTCATGCTCATCGTCTACCGGGAAGACGGATTGCCCGTTAGCCTGGCTGCTGGCTACCCCGGCTCGTCCGCAGTTGGCGGATAGTGGAACGGCCTCCAGATAAGATTAGCTGGGAATAAGAGGGTCAGCAGTTACAGTGCTAAAGCGTGCGGAGTGCTGAGGTCTGGTACGTTGAAAGACGTTTAAAAAAGCCGCAAAGCTTGATAACGGCTCTGTGACATGTCGACCGTGAAACACCATTGAAAAAGTTTGCTTTCCACTGCTTTCTTGTGGTTAGGCTTCTAAGCCGACAGTTCGACCGTTGCATCCGACGATGCCCACCGTGTGCTCCACAGCAAGGTGAGGACAGAGACGGTGACTTGCGCGTGAATTAGTTTAAAGTAATGGAAAACTTGCGCAACATCTACCGCACTCCATCCTCCACTCCCACCTGGACCCGGTGTCAAGACATAGTCAATAAAATCCGAATGCGTTGGTGGCGCAGGTGGATTGCACGGCCGAGCCCGCAACTTGGCGCTCCACTCCACGCACCGTGACCCACACAACAAATGATCAAGGTTCTAACCAACGAAAAAAGAGTGGAATCTGGCACGGCCGAAGCCGAACCTAGGCGTGCCGCCACACCAGGCTCGGATCCCACTCAGTGGGAGTGTCATAAAAGCCACATTAAGAAGGAGCCGTTGCAGCCTGACTATTAGACCACCAACCGGCCACTCCACACACAAACACGCATCACTGGGCCGACTGAGGGGTACAAGCCATCCCGTCAATTGGCAACCTTCAAAGTCACGGTTTTTAGCGCACCGTGATAGCTTCAAGCGCGTCAGTTTGTTTATAGTGGGGAAAATACGCTGAGTCGTCGACCACATTCTCCCTTTCCATTCCCAGGCCCCAGCCACTATCCGAGTCGATCATTTGAGAGATGCGGAGAATGGGCGCGGTGGCTGAAATATTTAATGACCTTGTCTGCGTCTGCCACATGCACTACCTAGCCCCCGAAACACAAGCACCAGTATTCCACACAAGGGTGGTTGAGCGACGTATATCTCAAATGGGTAAGGGTGCCGTGGAAGGAGCTGTTTCAGCCCGGCTCTCAACCCACTAGTCCAACACTCCACACAAACACACACTGGACAGACTGCATGGGCTGAGTTGAGGCGTCATTCGGCAGCCTTCCAAACCAAGGCGCTTGACGTGCCGGGATATTCTCGGACTCGAATCACACATACGGCAAAAAAGCATCGTGGAGACGGAGCCCAGACGTACACTTCCCATTGCGCAGGAGGTGGCATTTGGATGCTTGTGGTGGGTGATGACGTTGTGTAACGCAGGTGGTGCGGGCGTTCGTGGGGGAGAATGTGGTGACGTGATGCAGTCTGCGGCTGTCTACCGCAGGATTTCGTGGACGCACATGTGGCCTGATAGGCCCATACGGTTGGTGAGCTTGCGGGTGCAGTGAGGGTAGTTGAGGCGGATGCTCCTGGCGTTTGTTGGTGATCCAGGCACTGGTTCGCCAGTCCATGTGCGATGGAATCCCAAGTGACTGACAAGGCCGATGTGTGAGGTGAATGTGCGGTGACAGTGTGGGTATCAGAAGTCAGCGGTGTCAGTATCAGCCACGGTGGTGATGGTGGTGGAACTGGTGGTGGTAGGCGCCCTGGACGACGGGGTGTGAGTAGGGGGGAGCTTGGTGGGTGTAGAGCCTGTGAAGGACGCACTGGGTATGATGGAGCTCGTGGCGGTGGGCGCGTTGTTCTGCGGGACGTAGGCGAGGATAGGCATGGTAGGCGTGCTAGATGTGTTAGGTGTGTCAAGATTGCGGTCACTTCCGCCCTCGTGGATACGCCTGTGGCCGAATAGACCCATGCGATGCATGAAGGTGCGAGGGCAGTGTGGACAGTGGAGATAAATGCAGCGGGTGTAGGTTGGTGCTACAGGCACTGGTTTGCCAATCACTGTGCGATGGACTCTCAAGTGACCGACCAGGCCCATGTGTGAGTTGAAGGTGCAATTGCAACGAGGACAGGTGTTGACCGGGTCCTCACCACTGGTGTTGGTGATTGTAGTGCTGTTGTTTGTCAGTGTGTCAGGATTGTGTCTAATGTCGATGTGCGTGGCAGACGCCACAACGGCAGACGTTGAGGTAGCGGGGGGGAGGAGGATGGTGGTGATGGTGGTTGAGAGGGCGTTTTGAAATAACTGACGGCGTAGGAGGCGAGAAAGAGGTAGACAGAGAGACGGCGGTTGGTGATCTCCGAGTGTTGCAGTTGGTCCGAAGGTATCCAACAAGTCCATTTGACGACCGGAATGCCCGCTGACACCGTGGACACGTTGGAGGCGGTTGTGCGTTGGCATTGCGAAGTGGGCGCAGCTGAGTCTTGCATGCTTTGCGTTTCGCTTTCGTGGCGGCGATGCGACTTGTTTCGTGAATCGTTGCGCCTGCCTTCACTGCCCCCCCCCCAGGTCGGTTGGTCTCGAACGAGGTCTTCACAGCTGGTCGGGTTGATCTGCAAACGCTTCAGGGGGGTTCCCAGAATGACCCCGTATCGACGAATTTGGCCTCTTTGGCGGCGGAAACCCCTGGCGACATTTCCATAGAGGAGTCGTCTGGGTAGCCGCTCGTTAACCATCCGCAGGAGGCGGCCACTCCAACGCAGTTGCAGTCGTCTCAGCACGACTTAGGTGCTGCGAATACCCACTCGCTCCAGCCCGTCATTTTCGGGGATCTGGCCCTGTCACTTCAGCTTCAGTATCCGTCGAAGACAGCTGAGGTGGAAGGGATCGAGTCTCTGCGCCTGCTTATTGTGGACCGTTCAGGTCTCCGGTCCATATAGCAGCGTCGGCAGGATGGCTGCCTTGTACAAATCTAGCTTCGTGTTGAGGCAGAGGCCGTGACGGTTCCCGACGGTGTTCCGCAGACGGTTGAAGGCTTGGCTGGCTTTGGAAATGCGGCAGGTCACCTCATCGTCGATTTAGGTGCTGCAGGAGATGATGTTGTCCAGATACGTGAAGTTGTCCACCACTTTGCTATTATTATTATTATTATTATTAAAACGAATTCGTCGGATTGTATATGACGAACTGAAGTGAGTATTCAAAACTCATTAAGCGGAAAAATAATTAAAATCTGATAAATTTTAAGGAATTTAATCAGAAGCGACTTAGCTTTTTGCAGATCTCGTGGGACTTGAACAACTGCAGAACTTGAAGGATTTTGAGCGCAAATTTAGACTGTAAATAACTGCGAGTTGGTTGCGTAGTCAGTTGAACCGTGCTGATAAACAATTTTCACTTAATTCAGTTTCCTGGCGAATTTCGACACATGAAAATATATTCCAAAAATGCACAAAGCAATTCTGTACGCCCATTAGCAATTCTATGATATGATAGGACCCCCACGGGTCTTGAATAAAAATACTAATAATCATTATTATTACTTACCAGTTGGTTCCGTTCACTCTGACTTACGGCGCATTGTGGGCTGTGTTGGTTGGCGGTTGGTGCAAGACTACCGTCTTCTCCTTGTTGATAATTAGGCCAAAGCTCTCACAGGCGGTGGTGAAGAGGTCCATGCTCCTCTGCATGTCCCTTTCGGGGGTGACGTTGAGAGGGCAGACGACGACAAGGAGAAGTTCTTGGACGGTGGTTGTGGAAACACGCGGCTGGAAGTGCATCCGCCTGTGGTTGAGGAGGTGGCCGTCCGTCCTGTAGGCGATGCGGATCGCGGTGTGTTCGTCACGTTTGGTGTCCATCAGCATGACAGAGAACATAAGACTTAAAAGGAGGGGCGCAAGGACGCAGCCATGCTTCTCTCCTTTCGTCACTGCGAGGGCCTCTGAGGCAGCTTCACCGTCCGTGATGTGTACCGTCATGCTGTCATGGAGCTGACGAACCATCTGAGTGAATCGCCCGGGACAGCCCAATTTTCGCATGATTTTCTACAGTACTTCGTGATTCATCGTGTCGAAGTCTTCCATCTGACCCTCGGAAGTGGAGTAGGGGTGGATCCGCACCTCCTGACACTGCTTCTGGGGTTGGCGGACAGCAAAGATGATGTCGGTGGTTCCGAGGTGACGGCGGAAGCCGCACTGGCTTTCAAAAAGGACATCCTGTTCCTGATGGTTGCCGAGACAGTTGAGAAGAATGCGAGCGAAGATTTTCTCTGCGATGTTCAGCAGCAAGATGCCTCTGTGATTGTCGCAGATTTGGCGGTTTCCTTTCTGCCTATAGAGGTGGATGATTGTGGCGTCCTTGAAGTCCTGCTAGAATGTCCTCAACGCCACATTTCTTGGAATGGCGCCGTTTGATGATCCATGAGTTGGGGGCCACCGTGCTTGTGGATCTCAACAGGGATCGCGTCCGATCTGGGCGCTTTCCCGCTGGAGAGCGGCTGCACGGTCCTGATGGCCTCGTGAAGAGAGGACAGGAGGTCGAGGTCGACGTTGGTCTCCACTTGCGGCAGGCGGGAGATGGTGGAGTCGGAGATGATGAAGGGGCGATTGGAGACGCCTCGGAAGTGCTCGGCCGATCGCTTTGGAATGTATCTCTTATCTGTGAATGGGGTACTTCCGACGGCGCTGTGAATTGATGCAGTACATTTGTGTGGCGGACGGTAGAAGGGTTTAATCTCGAAGAAGAAGTTCCTCCATTCGGTGCAGTCTGTGTAACCCTGGGTTTTTGGCCTTGCGTGCCGTCCAAGTGTCCTGCATCTGCCGCAGCTGCTGTTCCACAAAACGGCGACTACGGTAGAAGGCTGCTTTTTTTCGTCAGACGGACGTTCGACGCAGGCTTTGTGCAGGCAATTCGTCTCGGCGAGTAGGTTGCTGATGGCGACGTCGTTGTCATCAAACCAGTCCTGGCGTTGCCGACGTGGCGACCGAGGACAGCCAGGGCTGCCGATCGGATTGTGTCCCGCAGTTGACACCAGCGGTTCTCCACGGAGGCGTTCTCGTCAGCCGCGGCAGCATCAAAGATTGGCAGGTAGTCTTGCCGTTGAGCAAGTTCGTTGTTGAAATGGAGATGATGAAAAGGCAAAGATAACAAGGCAATATTCAGCTTGCCCAGGGGTCGCTTACCTTGAGGTCTCCTGCGAGATGCGGACGAATCCGAAAATTCGAGACGACTAAACGATAGTCGGTCTGCCCGTCAGCACCCGGAATCGCCTTTATCACCAGCACGTCCCGCTGGGCTCGCCTCCTGACAAGGACATAATCCAGCAGGTGCCACTGACGCGACCGAGGATGCATCCAGGTGACATTCTCTCGCTTAGGCAGGCAGGAGACGGTGTTCCTCAGGATGAGTTGGTGTTCTGCGCAGGTGCAGAGAAGGAGCAGAGCATTGTCGTTGAAGCCGTCGAGACGATGAGGGCCTAGCACATCCCTCCGGACAGCATAGTCTGTGCCGACGCGGGCATTGCAACCAACAGATACAAGCAACTTATCCGCCTTCGACAGTTACCAGGAGGGCATGCCGGTCCTCCTAGAATTTGTCCTTTGCGGCATCAGTTCTGGCCATCGGCGGCGCGTTGACACTGATGATGATGATGATGATGATGATGATGATGATGATGATGATGATGATGATGATGATGATGGCGAATTTGTCTTCCCGGAGAAGCAGGCGAAAGCTCATTAGACGGTCGATGATCCCTGCGACAGACAGGGCAATAGCCCCACGATGTCGTTCCGGATGGCAAAGGCGACGCTCGTGTCCCGTCCCTCTGTGTTAGGATGACCGGTCCAGAAGAAGTTGTAGCCGGCACCCACCTCCTCCGTTTGGCCTTGTTCGGAGAATCGGGTCTCGCTGAGTGCGGTGATGTCCACCTTGTGGCGCTTTACTTACCAAGCCACTAGCGCTGTCCTCCGTTCCGGTCGGTTGCTTCTCGGGTTGCCTAAAAGTGAATGGACGTTCCAGGCTGCCAGAGTGAGCGGACTCTACCAACCAGTCTGAAGATTGGGACGGTGTGGAGGAGGAGGGAGAGGAGTAAGAGAGAGAATTGTTTCTCCTTTGATTATTTCGACCATGTGCTTTGCGTCTGCGAGCCACGGTCGGCACGCAGAGCGCATAATCCCAACATTTGCTTAAGGCACCTTTTCTAGTCCCGTTCCCCTCGCGGAGTTGAGTAGTGCTGTCCATAAAAAGGGCTGCCTAGTCATCCCAGACGGTTGCCGGACCCAACTATGGGACACGAATTTGTTTAGTTGGAAGACGACACTAGCTATCCTGGGCCGCGTAAGGAGCAGGCGTTCTATTAAGAAGGACCCACAGAAAGGGGAGGCGCTCTCCGTTCTCCATTTCCAAAGTGAAGTTCCCAAGGAGCCTGCTTACGATATCTCCAGATCGCATTCGCATAATTTTAGTCGTCCTTTGACCAAGGCATTCTCCCCTCTGTTTGGGAGTTGACGAATGTATATCCCATTCACAAGGGTGGATCTAGAACAAGTACAAACAATTATCGCCCGGTTAGTTTAACATGCATTTGTTGCAAATGTATGCAGAGAATAGTCAAAAAGCCATTATTACGTTCTTTGAAGAAAAGAATTTTTAATAGTGCCCAGCATAACTTTCGACGAAATCATTCCTGCCTAACTAATATGCTCTATTCAGCGGAACAGTGGTCTCGTTCGTTAGACGAAGGAACAAGGACCGATGTCGTTTACATCGATTTCGAGAAAACCCTTGATAGTGTTCCACACCGCCGGTTACTCTACAAAGTCCGACATTAAGGGACAAATGACAACCTGCTGAACGGGGCAGAGGGCTTCTTGACCAGCTGATCGCAGTCTGTGTGCGTTCTCCGTGCAGAATTAACGTCAGTGCCAGTTGCAATTGGTGTATCTCAGGGCTCTGTGCTCGGACCAGTACTGTTTTTTTGTTTATGTAAATGACTGCATAAATGGACTGGACAGAAAAGAAGTCATGTTTACTGATGACATCAAGTTATGGCGAACGATCGACGGGTAAAATGACGAACGCGCCCTGCAACATGTACTGAACTTTCTATTTGAATAGTCCAACTGCTGGTTACTAAATTTTAACCTTGAGAAGTGTGTCGCACTGCGACCGAAAACGAAGGAGGAAGAAGATAGAGAGGATCACCATTACTTCCTTGGTGGAAAGTGTCTTCAAATGTGACCGAAAAAGACCTTAGGATCAGCATTTTGTCCTCTCTAAAGCCCTCCTGTCAATGCATTAGGGTGGCCAAAAGGGCAACCAGCGTTATCTTCGTCATCAATCGAACTTTAGCAGATACATACAAAAAACTATTTGGAAAAGTATATGGAGTGCTTATTCGTTCGCAATTGGGATATAGAATCCAAGCATGAAAACAGTGGCTGAAAAACGACTCTAATTCGCTGGAAAGAGTTCAGAGGAGGACGACCAAGTGTGTGAAAGTACTCAAGACTTTATATCAGAGCTGCAGACTTGATGAGCTCAACCTATTTCCACTTGAGTACACGCAGATCCGGAGGATCTCATACAGACGCACCGGATTGTAAGGAACCGGGACTGCGCCGTGCACCTCGATGCTTTCTTCACCTTGGCCACAACAGCAAACCTGCACGAGAACTCTCTTAAATTTCGACGTTCGCAGGTACTATTTTTCACAGCGAGCCGTCGGTGCCTGGAAAGGGCTTCCCGAGGAAGTGATGATGGCGGATTCTACGGAGACATTTAAGCAAGAACTAATTGAATATTTGCCTGAAAGTTACCGCTTAAATGGGCAAAACAGCTTTGTTATGCCAAAGCAACGCCTTGCATACATCTACCGCTAATGTGTGATTTTATCATTATCACCTACAACTGATTGTCCTTCATCCTTAAAGACAATATTTCGTAAAACGTATATGTTATTGACAACATTTTAGTAAGTACCATTTTCAAGAGGGCCTTTAAAGGCATTGCCCACTACCCTTAAATATAATGAACTATAATTAACTAACGCTCGGTGAGCCGGGTTTGCTTTCTCCAGGAGGCAATCAAATCAAGCTTTTCATCCGCTTTTGCAAAAACTTTATCCATATGCCGATCATACGAATAAAGGCCCTTCATAACTAAGCAGATCTGATTTTTCTTTAGTTTTCCCATAAGGTTATTGGCTAGCAGTGGTCCACAGGGTGATGCCCTCACAACGCCCTCGATCTGGCGGTAAAATTGGCCACTGAATCCGAATTGATCTTTTAACGTGCAGCGAAAGAGTAATTATTTAAGGTCTCCGACCGGCATGCCGATCGAAAAATCCTGCCTCACACTCACTTTATATAAAATTCTATGTTTCTCATGAGAGGAATGCTATTGAATATAGACGCGGCATCTAAGGGCAACTCATCATCCATTCGCACCAGGTGGCTAGGCCGTTGTAGTTATATTTGCCTCAGCTTGGCATGGGCGCTGAGGATTCCAGCTCATTTCAGGACTGCTGTGTCCGGGAACTTGCCCTGCCACCTCAACTTCAGTATTCTTCGGAGACACCTTGCATAGAATTGATTTGGCTTTAATTGGGCTACTGTTTACACTGATTCAAGGGAGTCGTATCCCGTGTTGGGTGAGGGTTGGTACATGATCAGTGTTTTGTCTGTGTTGAATGTTATTTGGCGCACCCGGGGACGAAGAGGTCCGTGATCCTTTGCATGTTCTCTTCGATTGTGGTGCTGAGTGTGCAGTCGTCCGCGAAGAACAGATTGTGTACCGTAGTCATAGAGAGACACACTGAGACCTTCAAGCGCCGACTGTTAAGAAGGTGCTCTATCGGTTCTGTAGGTGATGCGGATTCCGGGGCGCTCGTCGCGGTAGGCGTCCATCGGCATGGCAAGAAAGACGAGACTGAAGAGGGTGAGAGCGAGTACGCAGCCCTGCCTTACTCCATTGCTCTCAGCATATGCCTTGGAGAGAGTGC